TCAACTCTGACAACAGCCCCTCATTTAATAGATCCATTATACTGCACAGAAGTGCAATGTATTTTAAACACACCCTCAAAAACTCAAGTCAAAGAAGCATCTGTAGGCCTATACCTCAAAATAACTGCACTAAGTTAAGCTGCTTGACTTACCTATAGGGTAGCAGAAAAATATTAAACACCAAAAGGTAGTACTGATCTAATTAAAAGAGCAACTAATTGGTCTTTTTGCTTCTTTATTTGTTAAGGAATAGGATTCTATACTGAGTCTGAGATAATTCTGAAATGAGTTACAAAAGTATAAAAACACATAGTTATCATTCACTTCAAAACTTCTTTTGAAAATGTTTTAATCCTCGAAAATCAAGAAAGTGTCAGCAAAATCTAAATTTGACATAGCATCTGAAAAGTCTCAAGATTATGGAGTTTTCTATTGAAAACATGGTTATGCAGAGAGGTGCATGCTATGGATGGGGTAAAAGGTGGAGCAAAGAGGTTGGCCATGAGGGAGAAGCACATGAAACAGGCCTGTATGTTCTCAGAGATATTTAGAATTACAAGGACAGATAAGTAAGGAATTGCAGTCCTGTGTGGGAGTTGTAGAATATTAAGTACAGTGAACAGCTCTGGTTTTATTTTATGAGTTATTCTACAAAAGGGAGGAGTGAATTTTGTACAATTACAAGAAATTATTTGATTCCTAGAACTTTTATTTGATACTTTTCCTATAAAAAATGTTTTAATAGCCACAAGGGAGAAATATTAATTATGTGGGTACTGTTTTGCTTTCTCAGTTTGATAAAGCAATTCAATTTAATTTCACAGAATCTCAGATCCACTATCTGTATTAGCTCAGTTGAAAAGCTTAGGGCTGATCACTTTTTCATGGTGCATATCATTTTATATATGGTAAAGGATGCTGCCGATGTGATGTCAAGCCATACAAAAGTCCAAAGGAGAAGTTTCTACATTGTTGGCTAATATATGTATGATTATCATGTTCAGGCTTATGAACACATTTCTGGCCAGTGTATTCCATCTTCAAAAATGTGAATGTCCCAAACTCATTATAGGAAAGTATTCACAGAAAACTACTGTGCAATACATGATACAGGAGAGAAATTTGAGCTCCATATATAACAGAAAAGGAGTCCCTCCAAATACAACAGTTGTGGAGCTATTTCTTTTGCAAGAGGTATTTTGAGACTTGTGTGGCACTGGTTTGGCTACATAGAGATAAATATTAATTATAATTCATTGGTTTATTTTATCCTATCAAGATAAATACATAATTGATCTCTGAGGAAGTTTTGCTGAGATAACAGGGATGATTTGTTTTAATTGGAAAGCAAATGCAAGCTCTGCTGACAGCACCAGAATATAGCAGCCCAAGTTCAACCTCTCTGCTAGCTAGAGGGGACCATAGCGGTGATGGTAAGATTGAGCAGATGCAAGTTTACACTACTAGAAACTTACAGAAGAAAGGCTAAGAATTATAGCAGTGATACTGTACTATTACAACATCCTAAATGAGGTAGGCCATCATGAAGGGTTCTACATGTAGCCTTTGTAAAACTAACCAGGCAATGGGGTTCTTTTTTTTTTTTAAATACCCTACACCAAAACTTTCAGCCTTACCTGATGTTAGGCAAATGAAACAAAATAAAATCAAATGAATGTATTCTAGAATTGCGTGTATAATTGTCATTCTCTTTTATACAAATGAAATAGAACTTTCCTGCCCTCATTATAGGAATCAAGCAAAATTAAATTTGACAGAAAATTCATTTGGTTGTGAGAAAGAATATGGAGGCATAACCATTTTAAGCCACTTTGCAGATTTATTTTTTTTAAATGTGTTTAGTACAGGGTCTCACTACGCAGCTTTGACTCATAGTGACCCCTTTCTCAGCCTCCTCAGGGCAGTGATTACAGATAGGGGCCATCACTATAAGCAGGAAGTGGAGAACAGTAGAAAATCGCAGAGGGGGTGGGACTCACACGCCCTTCAGGTCGCCACCATAGGGAGCCACATCTACCCAAGTCCACTTCTCAAGATTCATCCACTGGTGAGGTCAGAGCTCCTGCAATGCAGTTGAAAGTTGTGAGGAAATCTTTAGATCTAAACCCTAACACATCCAGTTACAGGACACTCAGCTCCATGGGTGTAGCAATTTATGAGCTTGGGTTAAGGCACTGAACCAATGTCTGCTCTGTGAAATACACATGCTAATTAAGTTAGTTGTTATTATTAATCTAGTGTCAAGCAAATTTATAAAAGCCATTTATTTTACTTTTTTTTTTTTCTATTTTAGGGAAGGGTTTACAGGGTGTTGAGGGTCTTACTACTGGATTGGACTCGCAGTGATTCTTCTGTTTACAGCCTCCCAAGAGCTGGGATTACAGGCACGCGCCATTACGCCCAGTTTTAATTGCCTTCTCAGTGCGTCCCGGGGGCGGGGCAGCATGGCAGGCCTGGGGATCCAACCTCCAGCCCCACTTTAATCCATTGAGCTATTTGGCCGGCCCTGAGCCATTTAAAAATAATTTCAATTTCAGCCAATTAACCAAAGTTTTATAGACAAAAGAAGACTCCAGCATTCATTTTAAAGAAAGTACAGCTGCGGCTTACGGTAAAAATACACTGACATAAACAAAGCCATGGGTAAAAATGACCTCACAACAAAGCTTCTTTATTATACAATTTAAATTTTTATTTGTTTAAAAATGTACGTAATGATTATATTTCCTCTGGAGAGGTGGTACATGGAACAGTTCTCAGTTCTTTTACTTTCTCTTTGCTTGGCTTGCTCCTGCCACCATGTTCCTTTAGATTTTGAAGCGCAGCGGTAACGCTGAGATTTATTAAAAGCTCCAGATCTGCGTTTAGTATTATTAATAATACGGCCATCTAGATAGTTCAGTGGACCAAAGCGCCTGCTCAGGCAGGAACAGGGACTGAGATTCTATTCTTGGGGTGCAGTGCGAGTCCTGCCCCCGGGGCGCACTGAGACTGGGCTTGACGCACGTCTGTAACCCCAGTGTTTGGGAGGTTTTGAACAAGAGGATCAGTATGAGTTCGAACTGTATAGTGAGACCCTGTAGACCCTATACTATATATCTATATCTATAGCTAGATCTAGATCTAGCTATAGATATCAATAATAGCATCTAACTGGTGACCCAGAAGTACTAGTTCTAGATATTAGTGTATCCAAAATAATACTTTACTCCAAAATTCCAAAATTCAATAGATATGTCCACAAAAGCCATTCATGGGGATGTTCATAGAAAGTTTGTCCTAATAACCAAGGTGGGGCCACAGATTTAACTCAGCAGCAAAGTGCTTACCTGGTAGGAACAAGCTCTGAGTTCAATTCCCAGGCCTCCCAGGAAAAAGAGAGACTATAATATGAAGTGCAAGTCAAATCCTGTGACTGTCAGGCATGTAGAGTCTGAGTTCAATCCCCAGTTCCGCAAAAAAAAAGGGGTGTCCATATAGGAGAACGCTGTTCTACAGCAAGGAAGAAGCAAGATGATAGATGTAGTTCTATGAAGGATTTCAAAAACGCTTGAAACTACATACAAATGCACTGTGTGACTGCATTACAGAGCAGATCTAGAATAGACAAAGAGGGGCCGGGGAGATAGCTCGGTAGAATAGGCGCTTGCTTGGCAAGCGCAAGGTCCTGAGTTCAATCCCCAGTACTGAAAAAAATAGACAAAGATAACATAAAGTTGTAAAACTTAGCATGTGGTTATGCTGCGTGGTGGTAGATAAGAAGTTATTGGCAAAAGAACACAGCGGAAATATCATATGACTTGCTTTAAGTGGCAGCTACAGTAATGTATACAATCATCATTCTTCTTAGAAGTCAATATTGCATTTTATTATATCTCTTGTTAATACAATGTCCTTTAAAAAGCCTTGTAGATACTCTCTAGGATGAATTACACTTTCAAAATAAAATTTCAGTTAAATACATTCAGGATAATATTTCCTGATAGGAAAACTAGTGACTGAGTGGGCTAAATTTAAATATCATTTTCAAAAGCTTATATACCATAGAGAGAGAAGTCAGGAAGAATCTTCTAGAAAAAAACATGGTTTAATTCACTGGCATTTCCTATATATCATAATTATTTTTCCTTCCATTTGGATATTCAATATAGAATGCTGTACTTGGTGAGACATGTTTACCAAGCAGTATTTTACTAAAAAGCAAAGCACTTGGGAAAATAACTCTATTTCCTTTAAAAATGGTAGGATAGAAATGAAGGGCACTACATGTGTTGTGTGTGACCATATCAATTCCTATCCATGCTCAAACATCATATGGTGCTTTTAGAAATATTTTAATATGTTCCGAAATATAAAATATTGGGACATTTAAAAATAAGCAATTTTCTGTCAGAAATCTATGATCCTGGCCACACCCTCTATAAGCAAAAATGCCTGTAGAGGCTGATCAGGAACCTGATCAGCCTCTACAGGATGTTAACTTCAAATTAGCTTTTCTAGTTGCTTCAGGCTTTGGAGGAGATTGAAAGAAAGGGAGTAGTCATAGGGAATAAAATTACTCATCATTCAAAAAAGAACTTTTTGAGTGATTCAAACTTCTTTCTTATTTCTGAGTATAACAAATGGCCACATAGAAGAGAAATGTAGATTGCTGAGGAAGATAAATAAGAAGAGAGGGGCTGGGGAGATGGCTCAGTAGAATAAGCATTTGCCTGGCAAGCGCAAGGGGCTGAGTTCAATCCTGGGTTCTGCCAAAAAGGAAAAAGAAAAAGGAAAAAAGAAGAAGAGATAGAAAAGAAAGCAAAATATGAAAATGAGAGGTAACCCCAAAGGAGAAATAAAATGACTCAGATTGGATATGTTTACCTAAATATGTGGATACAATTAAGAATATGTTGGAAAGCAATAAAGTTCAATTAGAAAGTGTTTAATACACTATGTATTTAAACAATTTCCAATTGATCATAACTTTTACAAAGATTTAACTGACTAATAGTCCTATTTGTTGTTTTAACAAAGAATCTTATTTTCAGAGAGAATGTAACACAATATTGCCTTAGTTACTCTACTCTTCTTGCTGGTAAAATTACCTGACACTCAAGGAAGGAAAGGTTTATTTAGCTCACAGTCAATTGGAGGTTTCAGTCCATGGTTATCTGGTTCCAAGACAGAATGGCACATGGCAGAGGGCAGCAGTTCATGGTGATAGCAAAGAACAAGTGCAAAATGGAGGAGTAGCAGCAACAATGGCAACAGAGAGCAAGTCTGTCTCTCTGTCTCTCTTGTGTTGCACTGACTATCCACTCCAGGCTGGGTAAAATATTCACACCCATAATCCCAGCAGTACTCACACCCATAATCCTAGCAGTACTCAGACCTACAATCCCAGCCTTGGATCATGAATTAATCACAAACTGTAGAACTGTGCCTCCATGACTGCCTGAGGCTTTGGGGGTACAAATGCACACAAACTACAACAAATGTGATAAATGTTCTGTCTCATACATGCCTATGTATAGTTTAGATATTTCATTTATTGACCAAAGTCTATCAGCCACTATATTTCTTAGGAGGTTAGCCAAATAATCTTTAATCATACACTTTTATTTCTGTAACTCAACCCTAGAATCAACTGAAGACCTTATATAAACCATTAATATAGAACAATAGCATTTAATTATTGTGACCAAGACCCTTAATACTATTACTAGGTTTGGGACTGCTACATTCTCTTTCTTGAGTTGATTTCTAGATTCCTTCTACCCTGAACAAAAAACTGGTTGAGACAAGTACAAATCATAGCCAACTTTTAATAGGTGTAGAAAAAGAAACAGCTCTGCTGAGCAAATTTGACCAAATAAAAGTAGGTAAAGAAGTACACCCTATGGCATGAGTCTAGCCAACCATGCAAGAGAGAACACAATGGCAAAAACAATGCGGGCTGTCATTTTTGTATCTCCCATTCCTAGAGAGAATCTGCCATCCTATACAGGACCTGCCGTCCTATAGAGATCCTGCTGAAGTCCTCCCGAGAAGTTTGTCTGCAGATCTTCAGGAATTATTCTGTCCATGGCACCTAGAATTTTATTGCACCAGCCAGCTTTGAGGCACCCTAATTTCTTGTCTTAATATGAGACACTTTAGGTAGAACACAGTCACTTCAAGTTGCTGTAGCAACAATCCCATGGACTGGGTGGCTTAAACAGAAATGTATTTTCCAGAGCTCTAAACGCCAGGAATTCCAAAGCCAAAGTGCAAGTGAATTCAGTTCATGGTGAAGATATTGCTGGTATGTAGAATGACATCTCACAATATTTTCAAATGCTACATAAAGGACTAAATCTAATGTCTTTCTGATAAGGATGCTAATTCTATCTGGGGACATTTACCCTCATTATTTCATCTAAATATAATTATCTCCCAAAGTCTCCACCTGTTCATACCATGTTTTGTAGGTTAAGGTTTCATCAAATGAACTTTTATGAATTGAAAATTCAGTCCTTCATATTCTTCCTCTTTGTCCACTGAATTAATCTAATTCTCCCATGTAAAATACATTCATTCCATCTCAATACATTCACGGATCTTCTTTTTCCAGTGCCAAGTCTATGATTTAGGTAAGAACTGAGGCATGATTCATGCTCAGGTAAAATTGTTTGAAACTAAACAAGTAATGGGTTTCCAAAATTCAATTGTAGCACAGTCATAGCTATTCCAAAAGGAAGACATAGGAAAGGAACATCCAGTCCTAAGCAAGTCCACATTGCAGAAAGGCAAATCTCAAGAGGGCATACAGCGCAGATTATATCTCATTGGATAATCTGTTTTACCTCCTAGGCACACAATATGACCCTCAGAGCTCACACAAGATTGCTGTGTGGGGGAACTCCAAGTAATGAGTGGCAGTGCTCTAGCGGAGCAGGCTGATGGGGTAACACCGCGCAACATCTGCTGAAGACCAGGTGCCCTGTCGATACTTACCGGTGTGTCTGCATTCCCTTCAGGAAAAGCATTCTCTTTTCTTAAAGAATAGCACAGAGTTATAAGCAAATACTGTAACTTCATCATCCTATTGTACAGAATTAAAACATCTACTACCTTCCTTCCTTCTATCCCATCTACTTTCCTTCTCCACTCCTCTCCAATTCTAGCTGATTGTTTTCCTGCTTGCTAGGCTGGCCAATTAAATCTGTTGTTCATACCTATACTAATCTTTGTTTTCAAATTTTTTCTTAGCCCCAGCCTCAGTGCCTTCTTCCAAATAGAATGTCTCAGTGTTTTACATATTTGATAGGTGAAGAATTTTCCAAATCTGTATGCTCTGGTTTCTTTCTACTTTAAAGTCACTTCCATTTTTCTCTCTTGTTTCTCATTTCCTATAAGCAATCAGAAAAATCTGAGCTTCTCTTTTCACATTTTGTTCAATTTTTTTCCAGATAACTATCCAATTTCATCAGTTCCAAGTTTTACCTGCCACATGATACTAGAGCATGAATTGATTTTAAAGGTCCTTTCAAAGTGACACTGGCTCTTTCTAGCATCATGTCAAAATTGTCCCAGAAATTTTTGCATTGTTGACTCATATGATCACAGAGGCTGAGAATTCCCATGATTTTTTTCCATTTACAAGCTGGAGACCCAGGAATATCAACAGCGTAGTTTGAAGACCTTAACTTAAGAGAGGTTATAGTGTGGATTCCAGCTTGATCTTGACAGCGTGAGCACCAGGCTAAATTAATCTAATTCTCCCATGTAAAATACATGGGTAAAGATAGATGCCCCTAGCAAACAGTCTTGGCGAGAGAAAATTCAACTCTCCTCTGCTTATGAGATTGTGTACACCCACATGGGGGTGGGCCATCTGTTTTAATCAGTCTATCAATTCAAATGCTAACCTCTTCCAGAAATATTGGCATACACTCAGGAATTACGTTTAGTCAAGTATGTGGACATCCTGCTTTCCAGTCAAGCCAACATAAAACTAAAATTAAAATTAATTATCACACACCACGATACAGGATGAATCTATGTCATCAAAAGAAAAATCCATAAAATACGTCTAATTCTTGCCAAATGTGACTTACTTTGCTACATCCTATTCCATTCTATTATTTCTATCCCATTTACTGCTAGCTGTGATTCACTGAAATAATTTCACCACTGCAGTTCAAAAAGTACATATTACAAATGATTAATCTACTCCCCTGTACCTAAATTGTCTCTATGATTTAAAGAGTGGCCATACATTTTCTGTGATGACATGCTGCATTCTGAGGGCTTTAAGACTAAGGCAGGCCAAGGGGAGATATCTTATAATTCCAAAAGAGATCTTCAGGAATTTGTTGCACGCTGATGAAAAAACAGTAGGATATCTTTCACTTTACCCTGTCCCACAAGTTCTGATGTTTACCCTGGCCTCTTCTATTGATCTGTCTTAGAACTGAGCACCTTACCTTTTCTCACCTGGAAAATTCAACCTTCACCTACTCAGGTAGAGATTCACTGATTTAATGCAGCTTTAAATTTAATCAAGTTTGTGCTGTAGTCCTTTTAGAAATGCAAAACATACTTCACTTACTGCACCTTACCCTCCATTCCTCATTATCATCTTGAATACAAGTGCTAAAGATGTCATATATAGCAAAGGAAGGTCGTTTCCTGTAGGAAATGCAATGTAATGAAGTAGGGCCAAAACACAGTCCCTGAACTAAGTTTATGCCATTTAATATAAGTCTAAGAGCAGAAAGGCGAATCTCCCAGCACATCAGTTACAGCAGCGGAAAGGTTTGTGACAGTGGGAAATGCGGAAGGAGTGATAGGCCAAAAGCAAATTAGCTCATTATTGGAGAGGCATTTGGGCCCATGCTACTGCTCACGTGCTTATGCTTAAGTCCAATGAGTCGCTCTTGCTATGTGCCTCAAACAGCCTAGTCTGCCCACCCTATGCCTGGTGCCCTAGTACTTTGCAGGATCCTCAATCCTAACACTGGTGGGCAGGAAATAGGGGAGAAAAAACAGATGAGGGAATTCTAAAGAAGTGCCTTGCAATTCAAGCAAAGGTAGAGACAGAAAGTGCTGGTCAAGCACTACCAGCATTTTCCTATCAAGACAATTGTTGCTGCAGGGTCACATGGCTGATGAGTCACAGAAAAAAAACCCAACAAATAATGTTGATTCTGAGTGACTATTCACTGAACATGTACATAAGAAAAGTGGAGGAGAGGCACTCCAAACCTCCAAACTTCATGATACCACACTTGAGTGAACCGTGTGTATCATTAAATACACGTATATATTAACTGGTATGGCCATGACAGTCCTTGCTCTTGAGTGTGAATAAATGAGAAGTTCAGTGAGGCAGAGCCGAATTACACTGTTATGATTTTGAAGCTAAGCCGTAGAATGATATTCAGGGACATAGGATATGATGTTACTACAACACTATATTAAATTATCACAAAATGTGTGAATAATACAGTTGTACAGTCTGAGCTTTCCACAAGTCATTTGGCTTCAAAATGCTGACCTGAAAGCATAACCATTTATAATATTGCTATGAAAAATACATTCCAGTCTCCAAACAACATTCTTTGAGGCACATTTTCAGAGCATAGTGTGTCCCTGAACTGTCTCTACTGGCCTAGGATATGTTTGTTTTGCACATGAAGTTTGCCTCAGACTCTTTCTACAAAGAAATGTTCTGCTCTTGGAAGA